CGGCCCCAAGTAAACGATGTGCCTTCTTGTTAGATGAAACTGTAATACCATAATTTTGCGTTAGAACCAAAATGTGACTTATGTTTGACTGGACTAGAATTTAGCTAACCAAACGAATTTTTTTTCCGTTAACGGAGCACGATGTTAAATGAAAATGTTTTATCATTTAGCCGGAACTTTAAACTGTTAAAATGGCAAAGTGGGCGCTACCATTTTGATTGCAAAAGAACACTTTATGGGTGCAAAAAGGCGATTAATTTTACCTGCAGTAATGGTGAAATCTGTCAGATTGAAATGATCGAAACAGTGAGCTGCTGTGAGGATCCACCTCGGACCAATCACCGACCCTCCACACAGATGTGCTTTATATCGATGTTTTAATGACACTTGCCATGGCCACGCACCTGGGTTTGCGTTCGTGCCTTCAATTATTCTGGAAAGAGGTCGCCTCTTACCGCAGTCAAAGCTTTCTATCATCGGAATAGAATAAAACAAATTAAAATAATTAATAAGCCAAAAATTATCTGAAGTAGGAGCCAGCTTTACGAGGTTGTACGTTTGGTATTCTGTTGTAATATTTTAAGCAGAAAAACTTTTATTTGGACCTGTACAACAATGCTCAGTCTGAAATATACACAACTTCACGAAGTACTCTGATAATAATACAGTTCCACTAGACTAGTGTCCATCGTGCTTTGATAGACGCTCTTCCCGATCTGTTGAAAATCCGTGAATTTGATTGGTTCTTCATCGTTGTCTATTCGCTGATAGACGGAGGATCACGCCTTTGATGCCTTGAAAAGGAAAATAATCCTTTATCTTTGGCTCGGAAATTCCTAGGTTTATAGATTCTGGACTGCTATCCTTAATGTTCAGTCTAAAACTATTAGAGATTACACGCCCTCGGTCGATTTGTGTGAGCAACAGTGAACTCGATCGGCCGCGCTTCGTTGACGATTCGCTGAACTGAGAAAACGCAGGCTGATAGTCTTTGTACAGAAGCTCCCGGTTTCAAACTTAGCAAAGTAGGTCCCACAACGCATGATTTCGTTTTTTGTGAATTATTTGGTTTCTGTCGTACGTTGACTAACAGAACAACCTCAGTACGTGGACTGTATTGTTACCCCTTTGCAGAATCCGGGAGGAAACATCCCATATGAAAAGGTCGGGGATGCTTGTAGGAAAATTTGAATTAAACCCCTAAAGGAGACTAATCTGGACGTGCCGGTGGGTCGAGCTCTGTTTGATCCTTAAGAGATACCACTTAAAACGGAATAGGCTTGATTACCGGCCGCTGTTCAGGAAAAGGAGCCCGCGCTAGTAGACCGGATTCGAGAGACCAAAGGAAATCGAGCGTAAAAACGGAAATAGGAGCGTTTTTTAATTATTATTTCTTGGTGTGCACCCTAACAGATACTTTGACAGATAAAAATAGTGGCGTTTCGTCGTGAATACCCTAAGTGAGACCAGAATCCTTGATATATACTTCTAAGCGAGACGACCTCAGTTACTACATACCGACTCTGTAGGTACAGTAAAGCATTTCATCGATCACCCTGTTGTGGACACCGGCCCAGTTTATCTCCCAGTATACCAGTAAGCCAAAACTATCGCTCGTGCTCATCTCCACCGACACGGTGAAAAAGCCATCGCGGTAATTCTTTGCTTGAGGTTTCCTGAGATTGTTCTTACGCCAGGTGGATAATGACTCAGTGAGCGGCGGAAAGACAAATGCGTTTGTGGCTTTGCTCCAACACAGGAGACTCAATGGCATTTTCTTGGAGACTTTTCCAAAACATATCTCCTTGTAGTGGTCGCGGGTGAGCATTGCGACGTTGACTGTCCAGGTGACAAGCATCCAATGTTTGTGTCCCTGGACTGCAATGTCACACTTGTTTGGCCCTTGTGAGCTGCCTGAATGTGAAAATGAAATTTTGACTTTCAGCCGGTTTTCAGGACTATCCGTGGATGGAATAAAGGTTAGTTATAGAAATTATGTTTCTGCGTTTTGGTTTTGAGTTATTTTACTTAGTTTGGATTTTATGACGCTGTAAGTTTGGGAATAGTTTTCGGTAAAATAGTCTCAGATTTTGCTCGCACTTTTACTTGTTCTTCTACCCTTGATCGTTTTGGCTTTCCGTCGTTGTCAAAAAGGCCGAATTTACATTGGGTGGACCCGCAGACTACCAGGACAATGTTATGACGAACTTTACGATAAAAAACAAGGCAATTTGTAAGTAAATAGATGCGGCTTGTCATTCAATATATTGTGATGCAAACACGAAGGAAAGTCAGTGTTAACTCGGGTCGCAGTCCGGAGGGCTTACTGAAGTTCTTCAACAAGTTTAGCCTGAATTTAAACTGGCTTCTTCGGTTAGTTACTTCCGAGAAAGACGTCTGCACCAAAGACGCGCTAAAACCGGCAGGTGACGTCACTATAGTTATGTCACTGTTTAAAAAACAACGTATAATTATGCGTGGTTCCGCGTTAATTTCGTTGAGCAGGAGCCCCTGTTAGCTCTTAGGATCTTGCACGCAGTAGGGACTGGGTTCTATAGCCTCCAAACAGGAAGTGCTCTTTCGGTTCGCGTTTACGATCAGAAGGCGAAGGATTTTTTTAGAGGAGATTTTGACTTCAGAGAATGCAACATCACGATAAAAATACTTTCAAGAGATTAGAAACAGTTGGCATTGACAACAAATAAACAAACAAACAATAAAGTTAAATTTAGCCGACCTCGGGGTTAACGTATTCACAAGGAATCTTCGTTGAAAAGGCGCCCAACCGGAAGATAAAATTTCAACAATGAAATTAAAACTTTATGCTAATTTGAAACGCAGCATGGCGTCACTCAGCAAGACCTTATTCATCACATGAATCAGTAGCCATCAGTGCAAATTTACTGATCAGTGATCGGTGGTCTATTTCATTTTTGAGTTGTGTATCTTCCTTCCTTTTCAACTTCCAATTTTGTCAGACGTAGGACCCTCCCAAAAGGCCATAATTCATTTGCAATAACGCAACATGGATTGTCAGCAAGATTATTGATCCTAATCCACTTACCAACAACCAAAGTCATCGCGAACAACGACAAAGCGCAGAAGAGAACTTGGACCTTCGACATAGTGTACTTCAATCACATGAGACGCGTTTTGTACAGTGTATAGTGTGTCACCTACACGAGGACACTCGAGTAGTTTCAGCTGGCTCTAGAAAAGGGTTCAAAAAACGGAAAGTCTTTGGACTGAAGTATGCTTTGATAGCTCGCAAAAACAAAAGACTTTACGTGGAGAACTTTGCAGCCAAATGATTTACGGAGCTAGTGCACGTCTTGTGACCCGATGATGTCAGGGATTTACATGTAACATGAAGTTTCGGTTTCGCAAGATAGCGGTACGGAGTATGCTGGGGACCGCTTTCAGACCTTTCAGTTTCTAATTCTCCACTTGACCTACTTGACCCGAAGTCCTTTGTAACGAGATCTAAAATAGAAACATTGCACGTCCTTGATGGCTTGAACTCAGGTGAAAACAACAGTCTTTTATCAACTTGAAAAAAACAATAATAAACTATATGCCATTATGACAATACAGAACGCAATAATTGGGGTAGAAACACGCAAGGGAAAAAGTCTGACCTAAAAGGGAAAAACCCCTGGAGACAAACCAAAAGAAAAGTGACAGAGGTAATCGTAGGGGAATTTGAAAGAAACCCAGAGTGTGGCTTAAACTTAGTTTCTCCCTGCTAAGTGGTGCTAAGCCAGGAACTTAGACGATCACTTTTTCTGTGGTTTCTGAGTTCCCTCTCATCCTCAAGGAGTAAAGGGTTTCCGCAGGTTTGTCAGAGAATAAATAAAAACAATGATAAAAAATAGTTATAACTGAAAATATCCTGATCTATGTGCAAACAAACACTTCAAGTAAGGCACCCCACATACCTATATGGCTTACATATCGGGAGCACCCCCGAGCCCTCGCGTATTCTTCAGTAACTCTACTGGTTTTCATCAATTTCGATGAAAGCCATGACCAGTCTCATCCTTTTCTTGTTTTGATAGAGTGGTCTAGAATTGTTTCTCGTTTTTTTTTTCCCATAGTCACAGAACAGTCGGTGGAGTCAAGCCAAGATGGGAGACACTGGCTAGCTTCCCTTCTTTAGAGTGTGAAACCACGCACCTACTGTTAACGGTTTTCGAACTGTCAATCACGAGTGAATCTATAATTTAAATACCAGACGAAAACCAACTAATAAAAAGAAAAACACGTAGCAAAGAAGGGTTTCATAGGAAATCAAGTCATACAGTCTTACCTTGAATTCGTTTGCAAAGTATTCTTTCCTTGACGTCACAAGTGATCATGATGAGTCAGGCAGAGCCACAAAGAGTTGCTGACAAACCGTCGATTTTTTTTATATTCATGAATGACGCGTCTTTTTGCTACAGTTTGCCGCGCATTTTCGCCAAGACTTACATTTCACGTAACCGTCATGAGATGCCTCAGATAGTGGTTACCAAGCAAAGCAAAACACCAGTCCACCATAGTGACTTTTATTTTTCTCAATTCCTGAAGAAGGCAAGTCAAACTTGTCGAAAAGTCGGTTTTCGAAATCAGCTTTAAATTCAGAAATAGTACCGAAAAACAGAAAACAACTTTTGACTCTAAACCGTACGTGTTCTTGAGAAGGAGAAATGTAATCGTGGCTATCTTTACAGCTGTTTTTAAACTAGAGTGAGATCTACAAAAATAATTCGTCAGCAGTTTGTTGCAAGACTCGGACCGCTCAGGGAACCAATCAGAATGCGCCTTTCACCGCGGACCAGTTTATTTGTTGTTCAGCTGCTATTTCAGCACAGGATGAAGATCTAATTGTCGTCTTCAACGTGGAACTATTAATTAACTAAGATGTACAATCGCCGAAATATAGGCCACGCATTTCGCGAGCAGATTCACTGACAAATATGATCGGAAAAGGTATAATAAATAGATTGAATAAATTGTGTTACCAGTATCCTTAAGATTCGAGTTTAGGCTTAAAAAATCAAAACAAACATGAATTTAGAATTTCATACCTGTTATAAGGTGGCTCATTTGTATTCTGAACGTTTTGTAACAGAATTATTTTGAACATTTCTTTTTTTTAATTTAGACTTCGTTTTATTTAGATCTCCTAGTCAGTATGCCTTGGTCCTGTTGGACAGCAAAATCGTCGTCAACTCTGCTAGAAGTATTGGCTTAAATTCAATTGGACCGGTAATGTAACTTGGAAAAACCTTCCGCTTCGACAGCTCGCAGGCCAGTTAACACGACTACAAAGCAACGCTTACCAGGGCCGGCATTTCGACGTCTGAAATTTAGTGATAACTGCTGAAAAGTTTTTTTTTTAAAAAAAGGCCAAGAATCTCGGCAAACCTGATTTGCTGAAATAAAGAAGGTGCTGATTTTCATCTGAAGGTAAGTGTAACTGAATCAAGACAAGACAGCAAATGCTCCGAACGAACTGTATTATACTGACTGAAATGTTGAAATTGATGTTTCAACCGACTGTTTAAGTCCCCATGATTGAAGAACTACTTTTAATATTAATTCTGATAACTTAGGATATAAAAACTGGACATTATCCCGATCTGAGTAAATGATTTTTCGTCAGCTTTTGTTTTTTTCCATTAAAGGCGTAATTGGCAATATATCGCCATTGTAAAAGGGAATCAGATGTTTCTCTTTGGTGGTTTATCTACCTGTCGTGTCAACCAACAATACGGAGAGGGAAAAACTGGGTAGATCAGTTTATGCACAAATTACACTGTCAATCAATCGGCCTTTGAATAATAACGAAATAAAATTTGATAGTTTTCTTTATCTTGTAAAATAAGCCTTAACTTCAAACTTTNCGGTCCATATCGCAAGACTCGGACCGCTCAGGGAACCAATCAGAATGCGTCTTTCACCGCGGACCAGTTTATTTGTTTTTCAGCTGCCATTTCAGCACAGAATGAAGATCTAATTCTCGTCTTCAACATGGAACTATTAATTAACTAAGATGTACAATCGCTGAAATATAGGCCACGCATTTCGCGAGCAGATTCACTGACAAATATGATCGAAAAGTATAATAAATAGATTGAATAAATTGTGTTACCAGTATACTTAAGATTTGAGTTTAGGCTTAAAAAATCAAAACAAACCTGAATTTAGAATTTCATACCTGCTATAAGGTGGCTCATTTGTATTCTGAACGTTTTGTAACAGAATTATTTTGAACATCTCTTTTAATTTAGACTTTGTTTCATTTAGATCTCCTGGTCAGTATGCCTTGGTCCTGTTGGACAGCAAAATCGTCGTCAACTCTGCTAGAAGTATTGGCTTAAATTCAATTGGACCGCTAATGTAACTTGGAAAAACCTTCCGCTTCGACAGCTCGCAGGTCAGTTAACACAACTACAAAGCAACGCTTACCAGGGCCAGCATTTCGACTCCTGAAATTTAGTGATAACTGCTGAAAACGCTTTTTTTTAAAAAAAAGGCCAAGAATCTCGGCAAACCTGATTTGCTGAAATAAAGAAGGTCAGATTTTCATCTGAAGGTAAGTGTAATTGAATCAAGACAAGAGAGCAAATGCTCCGAACGAACTGTATTATACTGACTGAAATATTGAAATTGATGTTTCAACCGACTGTTCAAGTCCCATGATTGAAGAACCACTTTTAATATTAATTGTGATAACTTAGGATATAAAAACTGGACATTATCCCGATCTAAGTAAATGATTTTTCGTCAGGTTTTGTTTTAATCCATTAAAGGCGTAATTGGCAATATATCGCCATTGTAAAAGGGAATCAAATGTTTTTCTTTGGTGCCTTATCTACCTGTCGTTTCAACAGACAATACGGGAGAGGGAAAAACTGGGTAGATCAGTTTATGCACAAATTGCACTGTCAATCAATCGGTTTTTGAATAATAACGAAATAAAATTTGATAGTTTTCCTCATCTTGTAAAATAAACCTTAACTTCAAACTTTACTAAGTCTAGTAAAGTTGGAGGACGAATAATTAAAATCTCGACCAATAAACAAATTTTATTCATTTTCAGTTATAAAAACAGCAGGTTCGGTTAGGGTTGATTTTTATCAACAACTGCAATGTTGTTAAATTATTCGTAACATTTTATAAATGTATTGCAGATACCATCAAAAGCAGCCACAAAAATGGGATTCCCTTTCTTTGTTTCTTTACCGGATGACGTCAGACCCCCAGAGCATCAAAACCAAGACGAATCGCCGCTGTACATAAAGTACGTGGAAGTAACCGATACGAAACCGTGCTATGCTTCGTATAAGAAAGTCGAAAATTCCTTGTTACTTCGTTACTTGGTCAACAGCCGTGGTACCAAAGTTCTGGAGCAACTGCTGATGGTCAAATTTAAGTCGAAAGACAATGACTTCATTGTAGAAACTTTAAAGAAGGGGATCGAGTGCAACGGATCACAGTATCACTACCTCGGACAATCAAACTCCCAGCTAAGAGACAAAACGTGCTTTATGATGAACGCTTCGCTGAGCGAAATGCACAGTTTGCTAGCAAAGTTTGAAAACTTCGACGAGATTCGTCCAGTCGCTAGACGATCCCAAAAGGTTGCGCTACTCTTTTCGCCTTTCCAACGCAGTTTGAAACTGAAATCCGGCGAATATGACGTCATCGATGACGTAACAAGCACATTGGGAACTTATGTCTTCACAGATGGGTGTGGTCTAATGTCACCTGAGCTCGCGAAGGAAGTGCAGAGTTTGTACAATTTATCGTACGAGCCCAGTGTCATTGAAGTGCGATTCAAAGGTTTCAGTGGCATCTTAGTGTGTTGTAACGAAATGCCAAGGCTTCGACTCAAGGCGCTGTTTAGAAACTCGATGTCGAACTTTGCATCTTCTAGCGAAGCCTTGATTGACATGGACACGCTTGGTATCGTAGACTACTCGCGGACCTACTCGCTGGGTTATTTGGACACACAGACAGTTATGCTGTTGGCCGAAGGAGGTGCCTCGCGCGAGTATCTAGAGACACTTCAGAACAACTACTACGAAGTACTAGATCGGTTGGAAGACAAGACGTACGCTGGTTACTTCTTGCGAACAACAGGGAATGAAGACTTCCTACAGGAGTTCCAGCGCGACGGAATGACTGACGAAGTTACAGGAAAATTGCAACGATTGAAGACTAAGGAGATACAAAACATGAAAAGGGGAAAAATAATTGACGAAAACCAAGGAAATGACGAAGAGGGAGATAGTGAAGTCGACACGAAATTTCAACGTAATCTCAAAACGATGGACGCGAACGCAGATCGCAATTCTACCACAAAAGATGTTTACTTAAGCCAAAACATGACTCGCGCTTTCGATATCAGAGTTTTAACACCAGATGCACGAGTGGTCTATGGAGCCAGCGATCCGTACGACCAGCTGAACTATGGAGAATGTTTCTTCCAGCCAACGCTTCATAAAGCGGAGTGCAATGCATTCTCTTTCGCCGAGTTCGTGCTGGTGATGCGAAGACCATCGTACCACGCGGGAGATGTTCGTGTTTTAAGACTAACTCACAAGAATGAAGCTTACAAAGANTTGTTCTTACGCCAGGTGGATAATGACTCAGTGAGCGGCGGAAAGACAAATGCGTTTGTGGCTTTGCTCCAACACAGGAGACTCAATGGCATTTTCTTGGAGACTTTTCCAAAACATATCTCCTTGTAGTGGTCGCGGGTGAGCATTGCGACGTTGACTGTCCAGGTGACAAGCATCCAATGTTTGTGTCCCTGGACTGCAATGTCACACTTGTTTGGCCCTTGTGAGCTGCCTGAATGTGAAAATGAAATTTTGACTTTCAGCCGGTTTTCAGGACTATCCGTGGATGGAATAAAGGTTAGTTATAGAAATTATGTTTCTGCGTTTTGGTTTTGAGTTATTTTACTTAGTTTGGATTTTATGACGCTGTAAGTTTGGGAATAGTTTTCGGTAAAATAGTCTCAGATTTTGCTCGCACTTTTACTTGTTCTTCTACCCTTGATCGTTTTGGCTTTCCGTCGTTGTCAAAAAGGCCGAATTTACATTGGGTGGACCCGCAGACTACCAGGACAATGTTATGACGAACTTTACGATAAAAAACAAGGCAATTTGTAAGTAAATAGATGCGGCTTGTCATTCAATATATTGTGATGCAAACACGAAGGAAAGTCAGTGTTAACTCGGGTCGCAGTCCGGAGGGCTTACTGAAGTTCTTCAACAAGTTTAGCCTGAATTTAAACTGGCTTCTTCGGTTAGTTACTTCCGAGAAAGACGTCTGCACCAAAGACGCGCTAAAACCGGCAGGTGACGTCACTATAGTTATGTCACTGTTTAAAAAACAACGTATAATTATGCGTGGTTCCGCGTTAATTTCGTTGAGCAGGAGCCCCTGTTAGCTCTTAGGATCTTGCACGCAGTAGGGACTGGGTTCTATAGCCTCCAAACAGGAAGTGCTCTTTCGGTTCGCGTTTACGATCAGAAGGCGAAGGATTTTTTTAGAGGAGATTTTGACTTCAGAGAATGCAACATCACGATAAAAATACTTTCAAGAGATTAGAAACAGTTGGCATTGACAACAAATAAACAAACAAACAATAAAGTTAAATTTAGCCGACCTCGGGGTTAACGTATTCACAAGGAATCTTCGTTGAAAAGGCGCCCAACCGGAAGATAAAATTTCAACAATGAAATTAAAACTTTATGCTAATTTGAAACGCAGCATGGCGTCACTCAGCAAGACCTTATTCATCACATGAATCAGTAGCCATCAGTGCAAATTTACTGATCAGTGATCGGTGGTCTATTTCATTTTTGAGTTGTGTATCTTCCTTCCTTTTCAACTTCCAATTTTGTCAGACGTAGGACCCTCCCAAAAGGCCATAATTCATTTGCAATAACGCAACATGGATTGTCAGCAAGATTATTGATCCTAATCCACTTACCAACAACCAAAGTCATCGCGAACAACGACAAAGCGCAGAAGAGAACTTGGACCTTCGACATAGTGTACTTCAATCACATGAGACGCGTTTTGTACAGTGTATAGTGTGTCACCTACACGAGGACACTCGAGTAGTTTCAGCTGGCTCTAGAAAAGGGTTCAAAAAACGGAAAGTCTTTGGACTGAAGTATGCTTTGATAGCTCGCAAAAACAAAAGACTTTACGTGGAGAACTTTGCAGCCAAATGATTTACGGAGCTAGTGCACGTCTTGTGACCCGATGATGTCAGGGATTTACATGTAACATGAAGTTTCGGTTTCGCAAGATAGCGGTACGGAGTATGCTGGGGACCGCTTTCAGACCTTTCAGTTTCTAATTCTCCACTTGACCTACTTGACCCGAAGTCCTTTGTAACGAGATCTAAAATAGAAACATTGCACGTCCTTGATGGCTTGAACTCAGGTGAAAACAACAGTCTTTTATCAACTTGAAAAAAACAATAATAAACTATATGCCATTATGACAATACAGAACGCAATAATTGGGGTAGAAACACGCAAGGGAAAAAGTCTGACCTAAAAGGGAAAAACCCCTGGAGACAAACCAAAAGAAAAGTGACAGAGGTAATCGTAGGGGAATTTGAAAGAAACCCAGAGTGTGGCTTAAACTTAGTTTCTCCCTGCTAAGTGGTGCTAAGCCAGGAACTTAGACGATCACTTTTTCTGTGGTTTCTGAGTTCCCTCTCATCCTCAAGGAGTAAAGGGTTTCCGCAGGTTTGTCAGAGAATAAATAAAAACAATGATAAAAAATAGTTATAACTGAAAATATCCTGATCTATGTGCAAACAAACACTTCAAGTAAGGCACCCCACATACCTATATGGCTTACATATCGGGAGCACCCCCGAGCCCTCGCGTATTCTTCAGTAACTCTACTGGTTTTCATCAATTTCGATGAAAGCCATGACCAGTCTCATCCTTTTCTTGTTTTGATAGAGTGGTCTAGAATTGTTTCTCGTTTTTTTTTTCCCATAGTCACAGAACAGTCGGTGGAGTCAAGCCAAGATGGGAGACACTGGCTAGCTTCCCTTCTTTAGAGTGTGAAACCACGCACCTACTGTTAACGGTTTTCGAACTGTCAATCACGAGTGAATCTATAATTTAAATACCAGACGAAAACCAACTAATAAAAAGAAAAACACGTAGCAAAGAAGGGTTTCATAGGAAATCAAGTCATACAGTCTTACCTTGAATTCGTTTGCAAAGTATTCTTTCCTTGACGTCACAAGTGATCATGATGAGTCAGGCAGAGCCACAAAGAGTTGCTGACAAACCGTCGATTTTTTTTATATTCATGAATGACGCGTCTTTTTGCTACAGTTTGCCGCGCATTTTCGCCAAGACTTACATTTCACGTAACCGTCATGAGATGCCTCAGATAGTGGTTACCAAGCAAAGCAAAACACCAGTCCACCATAGTGACTTTTATTTTTCTCAATTCCTGAAGAAGGCAAGTCAAACTTGTCGAAAAGTCGGTTTTCGAAATCAGCTTTAAATTCAGAAATAGTACCGAAAAACAGAAAACAACTTTTGACTCTAAACCGTACGTGTTCTTGAGAAGGAGAAATGTAATCGTGGCTATCTTTACAGCTGTTTTTAAACTAGTGTGAGATCTACAAAAATAATTCGTCAGCAGTTTGTCCTGGCGGTCCATATCGCAAGACTCGGACCGCTCAGGGAACCAATCAGAATGCGTCTTTCACCGCGGACCAGTTTATTTGTTTTTCAGCTGCCATTTCAGCACAGAATGAAGATCTAATTCTCGTCTTCAACATGGAACTATTAATTAACTAAGATGTACAATCGCTGAAATATAGGCCACGCATTTCGCGAGCAGATTCACTGACAAATATGATCGAAAAGTATAATAAATAGATTGAATAAATTGTGTTACCAGTATACTTAAGATTTGAGTTTAGGCTTAAAAAATCAAAACAAACCTGAATTTAGAATTTCATACCTGCTATAAGGTGGCTCATTTGTATTCTGAACGTTTTGTAACAGAATTATTTTGAACATCTCTTTTAATTTAGACTTTGTTTCATTTAGATCTCCTGGTCAGTATGCCTTGGTCCTGTTGGACAGCAAAATCGTCGTCAACTCTGCTAGAAGTATTGGCTTAAATTCAATTGGACCGCTAATGTAACTTGGAAAAACCTTCCGCTTCGACAGCTCGCAGGTCAGTTAACACAACTACAAAGCAACGCTTACCAGGGCCAGCATTTCGACTCCTGAAATTTAGTGATAACTGCTGAAAACGCTTTTTTTTAAAAAAAAGGCCAAGAATCTCGGCAAACCTGATTTGCTGAAATAAAGAAGGTCAGATTTTCATCTGAAGGTAAGTGTAATTGAATCAAGACAAGAGAGCAAATGCTCCGAACGAACTGTATTATACTGACTGAAATATTGAAATTGATGTTTCAACCGACTGTTCAAGTCCCATGATTGAAGAACCACTTTTAATATTAATTGTGATAACTTAGGATATAAAAACTGGACATTATCCCGATCTAAGTAAATGATTTTTCGTCAGGTTTTGTTTTAATCCATTAAAGGCGTAATTGGCAATATATCGCCATTGTAAAAGGGAATCAAATGTTTTTCTTTGGTGCCTTATCTACCTGTCGTTTCAACAGACAATACGGGAGAGGGAAAAACTGGGTAGATCAGTTTATGCACAAATTGCACTGTCAATCAATCGGTTTTTGAATAATAACGAAATAAAATTTGATAGTTTTCCTCATCTTGTAAAATAAACCTTAACTTCAAACTTTACTAAGTCTAGTAAAGTTGGAGGACGAATAATTAAAATCTCGACCAATAAACAAATTTTATTCATTTTCAGTTATAAAAACAGCAGGTTCGGTTAGGGTTGATTTTTATCAACAACTGCAATGTTGTTAAATTATTCGTAACATTTTATAAATGTATTGCAGATACCATCAAAAGCAGCCACAAAAATGGGATTCCCTTTCTTTGTTTCTTTACCGGATGACGTCAGACCCCCAGAGCATCAAAACCAAGACGAATCGCCGCTGTACATAAAGTACGTGGAAGTAACCGATACGAAACCGTGCTATGCTTCGTATAAGAAAGTCGAAAATTCCTTGTTACTTCGTTACTTGGTCAACAGCCGTGGTACCAAAGTTCTGGAGCAACTGCTGATGGTCAAATTTAAGTCGAAAGACAATGACTTCATTGTAGAAACTTTAAAGAAGGGGATCGAGTGCAACGGATCACAGTATCACTACCTCGGACAATCAAACTCCCAGCTAAGAGACAAAACGTGCTTTATGATGAACGCTTCGCTGAGCGAAATGCACAGTTTGCTAGCAAAGTTTGAAAACTTCGACGAGATTCGTCCAGTCGCTAGACGATCCCAAAAGGTTGCGCTACTCTTTTCGCCTTTCCAACGCAGTTTGAAACTGAAATCCGGCGAATATGACGTCATCGATGACGTAACAAGCACATTGGGAACTTATGTCTTCACAGATGGGTGTGGTCTAATGTCACCTGAGCTCGCGAAGGAAGTGCAGAGTTTGTACAATTTATCGTACGAGCCCAGTGTCATTGAAGTGCGATTCAAAGGTTTCAGTGGCATCTTAGTGTGTTGTAACGAAATGCCAAGGCTTCGACTCAAGGCGCTGTTTAGAAACTCGATGTCGAACTTTGCATCTTCTAGCGAAGCCTTGATTGACATGGACACGCTTGGTATCGTAGACTACTCGCGGACCTACTCGCTGGGTTATTTGGACACACAGACAGTTATGCTGTTGGCCGAAGGAGGTGCCTCGCGCGAGTATCTAGAGACACTTCAGAACAACTACTACGAAGTACTAGATCGGTTGGAAGACAAGACGTACGCTGGTTACTTCTTGCGAACAACAGGGAATGAAGACTTCCTACAGGAGTTCCAGCGCGACGGAATGACTGACGAAGTTACAGGAAAATTGCAACGATTGAAGACTAAGGAGATACAAAACATGAAAAGGGGAAAAATAATTGACGAAAACCAAGGAAATGACGAAGAGGGAGATAGTGAAGTCGACACGAAATTTCAACGTAATCTCAAAACGATGGACGCGAACGCAGATCGCAATTCTACCACAAAAGATGTTTACTTAAGCCAAAACATGACTCGCGCTTTCGATATCAGAGTTTTAACACCAGATGCACGAGTGGTCTATGGAGCCAGCGATCCGTACGACCAGCTGAACTATGGAGAATGTTTCTTCCAGCCAACGCTTCATAAAGCGGAGTGCAATGCATTCTCTTTCGCCGAGTTCGTGCTGGTGATGCGAAGACCATCGTACCACGCGGGAGATGTTCGTGTTTTAAGACTAACTCACAAGAATGAAGCTTACAAAGATCTGCACGATTGTATCGTGTTTCCTAACCGGGGAACGCGTCCACACGCCAACGAATGTGCCGGGGGTCGGGTAGGTGGAGACAAGTATTTCGTGTGCTGGGATAAAAGTCTTCTGCCACGTTATATTAGCAGTCCATATATCGGTTACATATCGAGTTCTTCATCAAAGATCGCCAGCAAAGTGAAAGAAGTTTCTAAGAGTCTTACGTGCATGGAGAAAAAGCCTGCAACTCACTTGGAAAAGAGGAAAAAGCAGCAACAATCACACCAAGCGCTGATGGAGTATTTTGGTCATTTCAAGGATTACGACAACTTACGCTCGCGCGGAACAGAGCTCTTCATCAAGTATGCCTCCCTTTTCGGTTCGACTTGTACCGAATGTGAGCAGCTCAAGGAAATGTTTCTGAGAGAGTTCGACTGGAGTGAGCGATACGATCAAGTTGACAAGAAACTGGGAGAGCTCGAGCAAGCTTGCGAAAAAGAAATTAATGGACCCACCAAATTTTCTCACCAAGGGCAGCTCCATTCTCCATTACGCCCTCCCGGCTTGTGGAATCGTGTTTTAATCTCGCTGCAGTGGAAGAAGCCGCCATTTTGTCCAGGTGATGACGTCTGGAACAAGATGAAAGCTACAAGCGTTACCTTTGTCGAATCACAGATGAATTCAACAGTCGATGTAAAAGCATGAATTTTAACTTCACGTGGTGGAAAGTAAACAACACTTGTTAAGAAAAGGCAACCTTTATCATACCTCAGCCCGAAACATTGAAACCGCTCCTTCGAAGAAGTTACAGCATGCATATGAAAGCTTAAATAATGACTACTGTTTCCAGAAGTTTAACACTGCTGTTATTTGTAATTCCTTGTGAGTCGGTTGGTAGCAGGCGTCAGATCAAAGTTGAACGCATTGTGTAATCTCGTCTCGCGTTTATTTACTCTCGCAAACATTTTTTGACAGCTGCAAACAACAACAGCCAACAACGTTCCACCAAAGCTATTTGCTTTTGTGAATAAATTTGAGGCCCACGTACTCGGGATGTTCCACGTGTTGCACGTGCTAAAGCAAATTATAACAAACACCCATCTTCAGAGCTTTACATCCCTAAACATAACATTTAATTTTAACATTTAATTACCCAGTTATTTGTTGATCATTACGATTTCTTGTTACAATAGTTTGGAATAGTTTCCTTTTTTCGTTTCATAGAAAAAAATTAGTGAATATTTTGTACGTTCCTTGTACGAGACCTCGGTCAAATTTTTTCAATATACGGACTCCCAGCTAGCAAATAACATATGTTTACTCTGTATTGTCGGCGCAAAATCTCATACAAGCACGCGCTGGCACAATACCATATGAATGATTGTTAATCTAACCGTGCCGTGAATTCAACAGTCAGGCTTATCCAAGATGGATTCTTAATAATTTACTTTGGATACACGTCCAAAGTAACAATTTGAAAATAAATGAATTCAAAAGTATTTTGAACATTTTCTGTCAAATGTGGCAATCGGGAAGTAAGTTATGAGATACTTTCGTCTACGACTTAAGACTGTTTCATAGCTCTAAAAGGCCGGGAAACTACAACTAAAGTCAACTTAAACTCAAAAACTACCTAATATAGTTTCACTTCTAAAACCAAAGACTGAAAATTAAAAAGATCCGTTTTAGCCCCAAAATATGGGCCATTTCGGTGAGTAGAATACAGTACCTATATGAGATCTAATTACACTAATTAGGACCAAAATGGTCTTGATCATGAACTGCGACTGATTTGGACCATGGGCTGAAATGAGTCCCAGGGTGGCCTGAAATAGTTCTTTGATACGGCTGTTTTGGCCCTCAATGTACTCAAATGGCTCCACACAGGGATGAATCAGGTCTTGAGTCTCAAGGGTCTTGTTAGTTTACGGTGTACTGGGATAAATTTTACACCTCAAAAAGACAGGATTACAGACTTGTCAGTACAATGCTTAAACAGCTAGCCTCTCTCTCTATTCTGTGGTTAATTAATTTGTGTTTCTTCTCTCTTTGGCGCAAATCGCGAAGGGCTTGCAATCAAGTACGATCCCGTTCTCACTGTCTTCCGCGCTGGGCAGGAACTCACCAGGCGGGCACTCAAATTTGAATCGGTACAGTAATCGAGCGGCGTATATGAAAACTGTTTTCCTTCCAAACGCTTTCCCTAGGCACGAACGCTTTCCTAATGAGAATGGCATGAAACCTTCTGCGGAATGAAATCGACCTCGTTCGTCCAAGAACCGCTCTGGCCTGAAGCAAGCTGGATCTTCCCAGCGATCAGGATCGTGATGAATGGCCCAGAGGTTAACAAACACGGTCATGTCGCGCGGAATGAAGAAACCAGCAAGGGACGTGTCCCGCGTGGTCGAGTGAGGAACTGCCAGTGGAGTTTCACTGACAATGCGCTGAACTTCAGCAATGAATGCCTCCAAATAAGGTAAGTTGGGTTTGTCAGATATCTCTGGCAGTCGGCTTGTGTTGCCGATGACGTCATCTAACTGACGATGGATTTGGGCCTGTAAATCCGGATATTTGGTGACGTAAAGTAAAAACCAGTTGAGTATGCTGGTAGGATCCTCAGTTCCAGGGAAAAAAATGTCAGAGGCACTAGAATTGAATAGAGACAACATTGATATCAACATGATGAAAATCTGATTTTCGCTACTTGATTTATGTATAGTATTCTGGCTTAATTTTGTTTATCTATTCAAATTTCTTTATTTGCGTTTTTTTCCTCTCTCTCTCTCTCTCTCTCTCNTCTCTCTCTCTCTCTCTCTCTCTTGTTCTTTTTTATTTTAATTAAACAACATAATACTGTTAAAGTAATAGTATCTCGCCCAGAATAGCTTTGCTAGCCCCCTTGTAATTTTATTGTGTATAAAAAGTGACTGTTACTGTCACTATTTTAAACTAAACATTTTGTCATGTGAACACCGCAGCGTTCCTTTTGTTCAATCAGTTTTAATCAATACCCTGTTTCTGATCTTACTTCCCCCGGGTGGGGGGGGGGAGTACTCCCTTATATGTTCTATGTCAGCTCCTGGATATATAGGTATATGCGGCCCCAAAGGGTTTGGTTTTCAGCCGTTTTGGTCATAAATAGGGTATCCATTTGGCTATTTTGGTCAGAAATATGGTATGGTTTTTGCACTCTGGTCTTGAATTAAGTATGTTTTTTTTCGTAGCTGTTAATGACAATGACTTTCCTGCTTCCCATATGGATGCGAAAAAGTTTGCCGTATGTTTTCGCCATGTTTGCAAGATCTTCGTAAGGCCTCTTATGTCCGATTGACAGCAGATTTCCAAGCACTGGTAACGGAAATGGACCCGGAGGGAGCTTTCGGTTTTCCCAAATCGTAGACACGACGTAAACAGCCACAAGGAAGATAACGAAGGCGATGACTTCAGCGAACATGATTTAGTATGGATAAGTCTTTAACTTGATCTTAAACTGAAGAGAGAATAAAAATAAAACAGTGTCCTCAAGAGGGCTGCATGTGTAGGGGGCAAGCTCAAATTGAAAAAGAACTTTTGTGTTTTAATTGGCTCTGGTTCAGAATGCATCGATGGGTTCTGTGTGCTT